AATAGCAGTGGCTGTAGGTTATGTTCTGTGCTGTGTATCTGCACAGAGTGACACCCATGCGCTGGGGGTGGTGGGTGGTGATCACATGCGTGTTGGCCTCGTACTGGCCTTGTAATGTATTCAGTCTGGCTTCATGCTGGCCTTGGCTTGGCCTGGGCCATTCATTGGTAGTGCATTTGTATGGCTAAGCACGTCAGTCGACACGATACACCACCACCACAGGTGAGTAGTCCGTTGGCTGTGAGGTGTGCGTACGCCCTATCTCGTACCCGAGGGCGGAGAAGCGTAGGCTACAACAAAGGCGAAACTCAAGATACATTGTTTGAGTATGTATAACTTGTTGCGGATGTCATTATAGGTGTCCGTACCACTGACGTGATAGCGACTCTGTCGGTGTGGACCCACGGGAGTGTATGTAGTGGTAGGGTTTTACTAAAACCCTAAAACCCTAGTTGTATTGCTGAGGACGGCTGTCGAAAGTAGTCTACCAATGAGAGTACACGTGAGAAATCCTACGACATAACCTTCCTCTGCCAACACATGCGGTCACAGCAGTCTACCATCATACAAACACATGAGTCATAATACATACACATGAGTCACCATATATACACATGAGTCATCATACATACACATGAGTCACCATATATACACATGAGTCATCATACATACACATGAGTCATCCTACACACATGACCTTCTTCTGCCAACACATACGGTCACAGCAGTCTACCATCATACATACACATGAGTCATTATACATACACATGAGCCATCATACATACACATGAGTCATCCTACACACATGCAACACATGCGTTCACAGCAGTCTACCATCATACAGACCTGTCTTTCCTCTTACCACACAGGCGAGGGCGGTAAGCTATGCTGACCAACTTGTCTGTGTGTGTGTGCTACGACTTGCTGGTGACGTCTATCTAACAGCCCATACGACGAACCAGCCGTGTGTGTATATACCACCACGGCACAGTGTCGGTGCACGCATGCACGTGAGCTGTGCAGAAACATTCGCGCTAAACGCTGTCAGCCTTCTGGTCCGCCCATGTCAGCTAAACCCTAAACCCTAAACCCTAAACCAATCATAGAGGATCCCCGACATACCGTATCGCCAGACACTGGTCGCAGCAAGTCGTACGTCGCGCTTGCAGTTACCTACAGTGAAAGGGGGTAAATATGGTGTTTAGTAGGTAGGTGTGGTATTCAGTAGGTAGGTGTGGTGTTAAGTAGGTAGGTGTGGTGTTTAGTAAGTAGGTGTGGTGTTAAGTAGGTAGGTGTGGTGCTAAGTAGGTAGGTGTGGTGTTTGGCAGGTAGGTGTGGTGTTAAGTAGGTAGGTGTGGTGTTAAGTAGGTAGGTGTGGTGCTAAGTAGGTAGGTGTGGTGTTTGGTGGGTAGGTGTGGTGCTAAGTAGGTAGGTGTGGTGTTTGGTGGGTAGGTGTGGTGTTTGGTAGGTAGGTGTGGTGTTAAGTAGGTAGGTGTGGTGTTAAGTAGGTAGGTGTGGTGTTAAGTAGGTAGGTGTGGTGGTGCTGTTCTGTGGTCGACGTCATCGGTGTAATTCACACGGCGCTAGAGATATCCAGTAATAAGTATAATATAAAAGTGCATCACACCCACAACCTCACCCGCAGGCTATAATAGCTATACAATATCGGATTCTCCCGCTACCTACTTGCCGTATAGTATGTACCTATAGCAATACAGTCACACCTACATGCCCTATAGTATGTACCTATAGCAATACAGTCACACCTACATGCCCTATTGTATGTACCTATAGCAATACAGTCACACCTACATGCCCTATAGTATGTACCTATAGCAATACAGTCACACCTACATTTTCTATAGTATATACCTATAGCAATACAGTCACACCTGCATGCCCTATAGTATGTACCTATAGCAATACAGTCGCACCTACATGCCCGATAGTATGTGCCTATAGCAATACAGTCACACCTACATGCCCTATAGTATGTACCTATAGCAATACAGTCACACGCCCAGCACACTTCGGCTGCTGTTTGAGTCTCCCGTGTTAGATGTAGCTGATACCCCGGTCGATTGAGGGCAGATTGTGTACCCTGCACCAGCAAGCACGTTTTAACTTTGGTCTAGAACTATACCTAGTACTTCAACGTATGGCTTGATTCTATAGTACGCCTAAGGGCACCTCGATGGTAAACACAGGTATACAACATGGCTGTAACAGAACATCCTAATTCAGACTCCGATGATTAACCTATTTAGCACTCAGAAAGCGGCATGTTGACACACATACACACACATATAACTATAACTTTGATATCGAACCAACCAGAGCATTGCTGATAACCACAAGAACACGCGATAGTTATAACGAATACCCTACTTCAGGCTCCCCCGCGCCGCTGTGTTGGAAGTAGCCAAGGCACTGGTCAATGGTAGGTAGATCGTGTATCTTGCACTCTGCAAACAGTCGATTGTGAAGCCGTGTGAGTGTGTCTTCGATCAATCTGAACAGGAGACTCTGTACGCCTGTACCCTCTCTCACACAGCACACGATTGCCCTGGTTTAGTGTATAAATCTCCGTTGGCCGTAGCCCACGTGTGTATACACACGCACACATATCGCTAACACATTTGCTAACAAGCAAGCAACCGTCTGTAGAGCTGTCTCTGTGCCTATGTTGGGCCTCGCGGGTCGGACGGATGCAATATCTGTAGCCGCATACGCATGTGGGAGGCACGCGTGGCAGTCAAACATACCTGTGCTCGCGAGAGACAGGCACATACAGTGACTGTATGAAAACGCAGTATATTCGTCTCGCTGTTGGGGTAATATATGTGGCACAGGCCACTGGTGTACTATTCGTCGCTGCAACCAGCATACAGATACCCTACACAGCTAGGACATACACCATACAATTGCATATACCAAGGACATACTACATCGGCATCACGTGAAGTATGCAGATTCGGTTACAAAACACTCGGTGAGGCTAGTATATACTGCACACTCACCATCACACTGTATGGAGCGGACCACATTGGTCTTACTACTCGCCGTTCTGTGGTACAAGCCGCCCAAGAAAGCGGTTCGCTGGGGCAGAACTTGGCGAGCGTACACCCAAAAGGGCAGGCGATCAATGGCTGTGTGAGTGCAGCCGTCTCTCCATCGCATATACTCGCTAACTATGGCTCTGTGGATGGAGGTACGGTGTGCATTGGCATGTTGAGGTGGTGACAAGCACGAGCGACATGGGGAGTCAGGTGACTCTTGAGTAGGATTTTGAGTACACACTTCGAAGGGAAGGTGGACTATTGGAGCACGGATGTAGCCCTGCCTCCATCGTAGACACGTGCGGTTTTAACTATCACGTGAGGTTTTAAATATCACGTGATACTATAATTATCACGTGATATTTTAAATATCATCTGAGGTTTAATTATAACGTGAAGTTTTAGTTCTCGCGTGAGATTTCAATACACTGCTGCGTCAAC